GTTGTTGGAAATCGGCTTGTAAAGCGCACGACTTGTTGACCTGGTCGTACCAGGGTCGATCCCATGGCGATGCACCAACAATATTTTCTTGGATCGTCCCGAATGTAATCCATGGCGACTGACTACAATATGCGGCATGATTAAAGCTGGTAGAGATCGAGCCAGAACATTCTGGGATCTCCCCCATGAGTGTCTTCAAGAAAGTAGACTTGCCACTGCCAACAGGCCCAACAATCATTGTAATCTTGGACTCTTGGATGTCAACATTCAGGCCTTTCAGCACCGGTTCAGTGTCGATTGACCAAGCTGCAGAAACGTTTCGAATGATAGCACAAGATTCGATGTAATGTTCCCAGGCCGAGTAATCAGTTTCAATCAGGGGCGCTCTACTAGCACTTTGCGCTGATTGGGAGCCTCGAGTATCGTGCTTTAGTCGATAGTCAACTCTTTCCGTTTCCACCAAGTGCTTTTGAATCCGCTGAAAGCAATTGACCACCGCCATCAGATCTTCTGAGCCATTCACAATAGAGCCCATGGGTTGATCCAGTAGCGAAAAGAGTGTCAGCGCGGAAAAGGCCAGACCGTTTGTCAGTGTAGCTGTGTCATTTGCTCGCGCAAGAAGAATATAAACACCAAATCCAAACACCGGGGCCAAGGACGAAGAGGCATACCCTATATAATTAGCGAATTTCTATAGTATCACAGCTAGGGCTGAACATACCCAGCGTAATCCCTAATGTTTCGTAGAGTCGAAATGGAAACGAAGCATGGATTTCCGCAGATCGCAAATCCCGAAGACTGCTGGAGATAGTTTCTGTCAAGCCTGTCATCTTGATGCTTTTCATGACCCCGAGAACTTTTGAGGTAACAGTCACCCGCTCCTCGACAGCCTCCAGCCATATGCCTTGTGCTTTCCCACAAGCGACTGCCAGCGGGACACCTGCAGCCAAACATACTGGTTCATGCCCAAGTTAGCCAAAAGGTCTTCCAAAAGAGAATATCACAAGGACGTACCGCTAACGACCACGGTAGGAGCGATTGTCGCTACATTCAGCAGTCGTGCGAGCAGCCACAAGGCCAATGCAACCTCTGTGAAGTTTGAGTATAACTCGTGCATCTCTCTAAGACCGCTTCCGATTCGTTCGATATCCGTACTCATCAACGTGATGGCAGCGGTATCCGAAATAGCCGTAGTGCTCATCCGCAGAGTTTTGTTGAAGATGAGCGTGACTAAACTTCCTCGAACCATAGTAATAACACGGCATGTCTTGTGCTCGTAAGCAGCATATGAGATCTATAGGTGGTACTAGAATTAGTAGAGTTTCCATCAAGCCATGAAATTTTACATACGGCGATGCCCAGATACACAATGGCGTAGGCGCCAATGAGCCCGTAGCCATAGTTGGTGGAGTTAGCATGTTCTGGTTCGGTCATAAAATTGAGTACGCGCTCGACGAGAAATGGCTGCGCAAAGCAAAATCCCGTATATGCAAGCCGGGGTAAAACACCCTCGAAAAAAGCCCATTTGTAGTGAGATACGAAGGTCCATAACAGTGAATTTTGATGATATTTGTTGGCTAGGAATCTCGATCAACTCATCGTATGACAAAAGAAACCTGTATCTCGAAAGCTCACCTTTGTCCCATCTTTCGAGGAGAGAGCACGGATCTGAAGCAGCTCTGATGTCGTTGTCAAGAGCAGGAAGACTGTCAACTGTCAAAATATCTTTTGACCCGCGCCAAAGTAGTTCATTCAGCCACCAAAATATAGCGCGATTCAGAACGCCACTGGTCGACTCAATCGGGCTGTTTTCGTATGCCTTTTTGAGCAAAGACCTCTTCTCTGTTGCCTCCAACCCGAGAATCGTCGCTTTGGTGACCCATGATATGGCAAAAAGCACAGTCACAGTTTGAGCAGTGGGCATAAAATATAAAGTTCGAAGGCGTACGAGGTCGAAGAGCAAAGTGAACACGAGGAAGGCATTGATCACTGTAGATGGACGTATGGAGCGAAGGTGCTCAAGATGAGACAAGTAGGCCAGAAAAAGGGAAATGATCACAGTCACAAAAGTTGTAAATACAGTTGCTTTTGTTTTGAATAAGGCAGGTTGACACCAGAGAGCTAGCAGGACCATGTGGCATCCTGCGTAAAACAGCCACAATAACTGGCCGATGCTGGTTAGCGCAAAGAAGGGGGATATAGAAAAGCTTGGAGATCGAGATCGGAGGGCTTTATACCTCCTTTGTGGCATACAACCATGACCGGTTGACCTTTTCAGGGACACCCGAAAGCTTCCAAATGCGAATGGATGCTGCCAAACAAACAATACCGATCGGCCCGAGGGTGAGAATACTCTCTTCAAACAAGAGAGTGAAGTCAAATCCATGCAGACAAGAAGGAGCGACAATTGGGCCAAAAGCGTCTTCCTCCACAGAGCAGGCTAACATGGCTGTCTATTGGTCAGTTATTTGTGCGGAAATGAGGCTTAATGTGGAGAGAAAAGTAGTTATGTTATAGAGGAAATCGCTGGTGCCTAAACCATGGGACTGGGATCTTTTGACTCACACTCGAACTGAAACACATATTCTTCGAATTAATGACATCTCAGACTTATTGTGTCGCATCTCTCTGTGACTCATTAGTTAATCAGCCGGATTGTACATGTGTGGGTTTAATAATGGTTATTCACAGCCGGAGTGCCCGACACGGAGATCATATTTACAACGTTTCTAATCTTTCACCAAAATCAAGTTCTCTTCTCGACAAATACCGCACACACACACATACAACAATAAGTCACATCAATCACAACGATCAAACAATTATAAACAGCAATTGAACGACGCGTCTATGAGACGTCCGCCATAAAATGTCTTTTGGTTTACAATACCTCTTTCAAATCCATCACACTAATGGAAACCCGATTGTTGCTGCCGTTTAGCACTCCAGCGGAGTTCACAACCAGGTATCGACCTCCATCCTCCGACAACACCCGTAGAGCCCGTGTGTAGCCGTGTCCTTCAGGAGAAGCGATTTCTGTCCACTCTCCTTCGCCGAGAGCTTTGTTAATGAACAAAGTACTCTGCGTACCGGAGCTGACGATAATGGTGCCATTTTCACCACCGTATGGTGTCCATACAGCGTACGGCGAAGATGTTGGCTGAGTACCACTGGAGACAACGAGACGCTGGCCCGGGGCGGAGGCGATATTTTCCGGGTCGGACGACAAACGGTAGTACAGAGGGAAGGAGTAGCTTGAAGTACCGAAGAAAGAACCATATTCATAGACGTAGAAGTATTGACCGTTCGGGAGCTAGAAATGTTAGCATTCTCCGGGCATGGCACAGACCAATCGCAATTGAATCGGTGTCTTCGGTATAGCTTACCTTGGTCACAACTGGCATGCCGGGTCGGTCGGTATAAGTCGGATAGGTGACATCCTCTACAACAGGTCCCCAGTTTTTCAGATCAGTTGAGACCTGGTGAACCATTGTCTGTCCGTAGGTTGCATTATCGCGCTGATCCGAGTAATAACAAATCAACTTGCCCTTGCTGCGAAGGAGTTAGTGAGACATTCCAAGGAACAGTAGAAGAACATACTTGGCGAGTAGGAATGGCTCCCACACAGGAGTCAGTCCATTGTTCGGTCGCGCCTCTCCTCCGGCGGCAATATGGCTGACAAACTCCCAAGTTACGCCATCGTCCTGCGACGCGTACAGATCGATGTGTGTGGACGACAAGTCAGTCGGAATGCTACTACCGGCTAGAAGTAGGGTGCCCTCTTTAAATGAGCCGACACGCTCCGGCAGGGAGTAGAGGAACGGCTGGTAACGCAAGCCATATCCGTTGACAGTGTCATGGACCCTGGAGATCTCGTTCCAGGTCTTTCCGTGGTCCTTGGAGCGGTAGATGGGGAAGTAGACCGCCGGTGGCTCTGGAGAGTAGTTTTCCCATGTTGCAAGAAGGTCGCCGTTGGGAAGCTGCTCGTTACGTGGGTAAAGCGTCCGTGGAACGATGTAGTCGGAGGGTGGTGAGAAGATGGTCACACTTGTGAGCGAGGTAGGAGAAGACTGCTCAGAGCGCGGAATTGTCACTGCAGCCGCAGTTGCAGCAAAAGCAAGAACCTGTGGAATTCTCATATTTGGTATGCCGGAGTTAACTGGTATCCTATCTATTCTATCTTCATTGGCAGCATTATCCTGCTTTTATAACTCGATTCTCTCAAAAATTATAAATTGATTCTTAAAGTAGTATATGATACTCCGGCGTTATCCCACCGGAATTAACCTTATAGCGGACTAGTCCGAGGGTAGTTCCAAGGCTCATCTGAAGACCGGGAATTTCCATCAATTACGGCCATCGTTAATCCGGGGAAATGACGGCATCAATTGCCGAGATCGCATGTAATACCACGTGGTATCACGTGGGGACACCATGCCATGGTTTGTTTCAAGAGAGGGCGTGTCTCTTCCCCTGAAAGTATTACAAAGTACAACAGGTAAGCAATCTGAGCTGCCCAGGTAAGCGTGGATTCCGAAGTAGGGGGCTATAGTCCGCAAGGATCAAGGAAAACCTCGTATTGACCACAATATACTTTGAAATTTGAACTTTTGAAGTCCCAATTACGCAGCACAAGTACCCAGGCAGTTTGGCCCCCACTATCCACAGCCAAATTTAGCAATTCCCAAAAGGTTGACCAATGATGATCGTGGATCTACACTCCAGTGCGAACTATGTTGCCTATCAGCACACAGCCTTCTAGCATCGCCATGTTTTGCCGGCAACCAACATGCTTCAAAGTGATTGATTGGGCGAGAGCCATCGTTAATTCCCTAGGATCCGTGTAGCCTAGGGGTGGGCTAATATGGCGAACTTATTTACCTTGGATTTCTTCCACTTTTGTCATTCAAATTCAAACTACCATTCAAATTCCACCTCTCTCCGAGACATCCAAGACAAAAATATCCTTTTCCAAGCACTAAACCTGCATTTATCCGAGAATGGTTCCCACCGAGTTCGCATATCGGCCAAAAGGCCAGTTGAAAGGGAAACTGCAGCGATCGACAAGGGACCTCGTCGGTCGTTCAGCAGCCATGTGGGATAATTCAAAATATCGCTACCATCAGTCGACAATGGAAATATGGCACAAATCAGCAGATACATTAAATGATTCGAAGGATCGGTGTCATCAGTCAGTTAGATTGATGCTATATCGATCGATGTCAAAATGGAATCAACCAGCAGATCAGTTACACCGAGCCGCTCGTATTGACGACACGACACAACATGTGACAGCGCGCGATGGGGAAACTCAAGAGCAAACGCCCCGGCAATCACCCCCACAATCACGATTTTACTCACGGGTACTCAATTCGCAATCAACAAACTCATCAGCAAATCCAAAGACCACTTCACCCTCTACAAAAGTGGCATCGATCAAATCTGCCTCGGTCATTGGTCCTTCACTATCTCCGGAGGAGCAGATCAGAGTGTTTTACCAAGCAACTGTACCCGTCAATTCCACGGTGAAGCAGGCGAGACAGTTGCGAGATGACAAAATAACAGTCCTGGGTGAGATCGAGCTTGAGTGGATCAACTCGACCATCACCGATGCCGAGAATGGCGCCAATGATTTAGCCGCGTTTGTGAAGCAATTTAAACAAACCGGGCCCCAATACCACAGCAGTTGGAAGCGTCGTGACTATGAAGTTGCCCTGAAAAAGGAATCCGATATGCTTCTTTCTCATGGCAAAGTCAAGACGGTTCTTAGCCACCTTGGCTCACTACAAATCAGTTTGGGCAAGGATGAAGGATTCTTCTCTCCATCTGAGGTTTCGACGGTTCGTCCTCCGATTTCGGAACTTCCATGCGAGACAAGAGTCATATCGGTCTTTGAACTTCCATGCATATCACCTATGAAAGCTGACCGACCTATCCCGAAAATTGTGGTGACACACTATGATGGTGATCATGACGATAATGAAGTATACTCCCATACCTATGAAAGTCCTCCCCAAAGCTACGAAGTAAATGGGATGAATAGCATGGCAGAGTCACAGTGATTGCATCACTACATGACTTCCGAAGGTTGGATAAGAAGCGGTATGATTGTTGTGTAACATATGACGATACCACACGAGTAAACGAATTACGAGTCAAAATCTTAGTTCTATATGTTATGTTAAGTTTCCAAATTGCAAGCTTCGCGGCTTATGTCAATCTAATCCTTCTGCCTGGTCAATGAAATCTATAAAAGATCACATCGCAAAAATACACCCAAAGTTGACACTGGGAACAACATCTAAAGGTGGGACTGAATATCAAGTGCGTTGATCTCCTCAGTCACAGTGTTGACTGCCTCAACCGCCATTCCGTATCCAGCCTGGTAGCCGGTTCCACCGGCGCCATAATTATGGACAACAACAACCCGGCGTCCTGCATCGCCTACTTGCACGTTTTCCCTGGCAACACGAGCGCCGCCCTCGCGAGATGGGCGTAGCCCAGCAAATGCACCAAGAACCTCAGTCTCGTTTGAGTTTAGGGCTGGAAGCAAATCCGTTGTTCGAGTCAAAATTGATTCTGACTCTTCTCCGAAGGTATCCGGTGTACTGTAGATATGGTTCAGTTACTGCCATATGGAACACCTAAGAGAAAGCAACAACGGACTAATATCGTTCTCACAAAGGCCTGAAAGGAAAGGAATATATTTACCCAACATTCTTTTGCATGAATCCACCAAGAATCACGTTTCCATTCGAGTATGGTCGAGGAATCACATAGGTTTCGTAGTCCTTGCCATGTCTCATAATGTTCTGTTGAACATGAGATGCTCTTGCAAGTAGGATCTGCCCTCTAGTGGGAAAGCACTTTGAGTCTTGGACTCCCGGTAACTCCTTTGCTGCGTTCCCGGTGCAGTTGAATACCACCTTCGTATCCTTGCTGAGATAGCCAGATGAGACTCGGGGCAACTTTTTGCGAATGACTTGTACTCCATATTCTTGGGTGAGCTTCCTGAGCAAATATAGAAGGTGCATTGGTGCATTGATCGTTATTGTTGTGAACTTTATGCCAAATGCGACGCCCGCTGGCAGGTCTTGTGTGGCAATCTCCTTGAACTGTTCAATGGCAATATCGATAAGCATATCTGGGATAAGCAAAGTACCTTGGAAGTCATCCATAACTCACATCTTTGAGATATGCGGCCATAGAGTCGATCTTCTCACGGGATGGTAGCTCATCCCAATACTCCACCGAAGGTGTTTCCTTCACAAATGCATTCTTGCCATCCTTGGCTGCAAGACTGAGAAGATGCATATACCCAAGCTTGTCCCATCGCAACGCATTTGGGTCGCTCGCAGAGATAGCGGAGAAATTGGCACCAGCCCTGAGCTCAAGTTAATCTTTTGTAAATGTAAATTAGCAGTTCCAACAAACCATGGTGAAGTGTAATTTATCGAAGTGTCTCCTGGAAGATGTTCTGCAATGACGGTCGTGTGTCGGCCATAGCCCTTTTCGGCAAGAACGAGGGCTACATTCAGCCCAATGACGCCGGCCCTTAGTAAAATCAGCATCAACGTTCCGAAACAGTGTTTTGGCTCCAACTTACCCGATGATCACTACAGATTCGCATTTCATATTTTCGAGTGGTTTTATTGACACTGAGTGAAATTCAGCTTCCTTATTTGCCCCTTGTTCTATACCTTTGAGAGCTCTAAATACTTTACAAAGACAGTTTCTTGGATTATATGGTCTGATGTTGACTTAAACCGCGGCAAATTCCGCGGTCCATTGCCCGCGGGCTGGTTGAAGAGCTCCGATTGGCGGCATGGCTAGGAGAGCTGGGCGGGGATAAGCGGTATCACCTTTCATTGACCAAGAGTACTATTAACACCGAAGAGCCTCATCGCGGCGGACAGTAATTTCAACGACCGATGGATAATCGTCATACGGCTATGGAGCTAACTCGGAAACAGCATTCATTTGTTAAAGTAGTTGAGGTAATTACGCCTAAATTCTAGAACTAGAGAAAACAAAGGGCAAGATAGGATAAACTCTGGCGTTGTTTCACAACTTTGCCGATGCCTTCTCCTTTTTGAAGTGTCTTTTCTAGGACACGTTCAAGCCTCTATCTAGGACACAGCGCCGCAGATCAGAACTTTTCCATAGATCACTCTAGTCCCACAGCAGACTTCTACCGTGCTCAGTCGTCATATCCAGTCATATGACGAGATACGTGTGGTTTGCCAATAAAAGGTGACGGTCATCTTGGCGTGAAGATAAGAACTCGCTAACACCCAGTACGGTATAGCCATGGTCTCATGCAATGTAATTCTAAAACAGCTTGAGGATTTGACTCTCAAAACTCAAATAGGGAAGACTAAACAAATGCCTCAGGGTAGGCACGCGGAGATACCTCGGCGGTGATATCTCGGTTGTCGGTCGGGTGAGACTCGGTTCACATTTTGAAATGACTCCTACATGTCAACCTTATCTCAAGAAATATAGGTAGATATAAAGTCTGCGAAATCGCCCCGCAAATACAAATCGAAGTAGAAATAAATAGTTTTACAATTTATAAACACATCATGTCCGGACATATTCATACACAAGATTCTGCCCCGAAAATGAGCAAGTCACAGTCTTCCTCCGTCGAGGGTCTCAACGCCACCCAAGAGAAGTCACATCCTTCACCTCTCGAGCGTTTGAAGAAACAATGGAAGGAGATAAAAAAGGAGTGGGGACCCCTCATGGCGGCCAAAGAGGACTGGGATGACGAGTACACTTTCCCACCGGGCCGTTATTCTGGGCAAAGATAGCGTGACAACGGTGAGTGTTTCGCAATCTCTTGCGGTCTCCCACCATATGTAGTTAGTTAACTACATCGTGCTCGAAATTATTATCTAATATTTTTTTGAAGAAGCATACAAACTCGGTATCTTTGCCAAGACGGGCAAAAGAGTGGGACTTTTATTCGACCAACAACATAGGGAACGCCATGCCTAATACTTCGCCGATCATCGTCATGCAGGATGTGCCATCTTCCTACTAGTATTAAAACGAACCCCGACCGCTTTCCAAAAGTATCACGATACCGACGAACACTTTCAAAATAATGGCGTTTGCTTTGCGGAACATGGGCGGGAACTATTTTCCAATATGGCGTTACCCTTCTTTCGGTCACATTTCGCTGGCGGACTTCCTTGGATGTTTAGGATTTGCCTTTTTCCTCCAAGATATACGCCTCTCTCTCTCGATAACTCATAACTCATAATACCCTAATACGCATTAATTACACCGCTCTCTCTTATTGGCACATCTCTATCTGTATTTCAATCCCGGGGGGGGGGGGGAGAGCAAGTAAGAGAATGGGGAGAAAACAGAAAATAAGAGACAGAAGGGAAGAATGGACGCAGAAAACGAAAAGAACTATTCCCGCCGCCGCCGCCTGGCTCAGCAGCGCACCCAACACCCACAAGGGATGTCAAGTCGCAGAGGCTGCATAGCTAGACAAGGTACGGATATGCACATTCTACAGTGGCTCCGAAGCCAACTACAAGAAAGAATATGAATTTCGCTGTCCAATAGCCTCTACGTAGGAGATAGACACCTCAAAGTGAAAAGATGTTTTGTATCACACTACGATCGAAGTCATTTCGAGTGTATGGTTTCTGCCTGATTATCGAGGGAGTCGCAGTGGACGCCCCGACATCGGGATTCCGTGAGACACGCTTAACTCTAAATTTAGAAGGATCCATGGAATGTGACTCTGGAATATAAATTTTCTATTCTGATCGATCTGATCGATTAGGCAGTCACAGGTCCTCCGGGTTTCTGGCCGTAAACCACTCGCAATTTCGTGTAGAGGTGATACGATGTATCCCGCAGCTCCATTCGAATTCCTGCCAACAGCCCTTCAATCTCGGAGCGGGTCCACCCAAGCACTCTTGAAAACAATGCATAGGTGTAAATAGGCATAGCTTCAAGCATATTGAGCTGATGGTACCGACCAAGCTCCTTGAGCTTGGGGTCTTTGGGCCAGGGGTTTTGGGGCAACTATCCACCAATAAGCATGGGATTTCATTTCCATCAAGAAGCGATGGAGGAACATACCTTGTAGATATCTTCTCGGACATTCACAAACCCGGCCTTCTCCATCCGCTCTTTCCAGGATGGTGAAGATGTCATGTCCTTGCCAAACATGCGCGATGATTCGTGCATGTGCTTAATGGATAACATAAAGTTGGTTGCCTTGAGGTGAGTTCCGTCGTCCGAATAGGTGTTGACGTCGAAGCTCGCCATTTCAAGCCATCCATTGGGATTCAGGTTGTCAAGTGCCTGTTTGAAGAGAAGGTCATGGTCACGGATGGAACCTTCCAATTCGCGCCCATGGATATAGTCAAATGGTTTGCTGTATGACCATGGTTGTTCAAAGTCGTCAATCTCGAAGCGGCAGTTTGGAGGCACCCTGGACATATATCAATATTATACCAGGGGCCAATATAGCAGCAGTGGCACGTACCATGATGGCTGAATAGCACTTAGGTCAATTCCTATTTCAATTAGCCACCGTTTTGATGGGGCTGTAGACAGATGCCCGTACCAATCACCTGTGAGTTTGGGTTTGTACTATAGTGCTCGTTAGGGTAGATTTGACAGATATCTTGGAAAAGAACGTACTCTGCGTACTCGATTGCCCATAAACCTGTTCCTGTGCCGAGATCTAATACTCGCTTTGGATTTTGGACTGGTGCTTTGAACAGTTCTCCTTTGAGGAGCATTAAGTAAATGTGGTGGCTCTATTGCTCATTAAAATTTTGTGTGGTCGGAATCAACAAGTGAAAACTAACCAGGTCAAGGCGATCTTGTTCCCGTTCATCATTTGGCTGTTTGAACATTAGTCTGAGACAGAGACTAAACTTTAACAGGGTCACGTACCAGAATGTATTCTCCTTCATGGTACGAATGGTATCTGCGACCGTTCTATATCTGATCAGCACAGTTCACGATCAAGTAGCGACGTAACACACTTCATATCTGCGATTATTAGCAACAATTGAACAGAGATTTCAGCCACATTAACATACTGATAGTCTAGCACGCTCGATGTCACGCTTGTGGTGTAACTGGCGTTGTCAAGTCTATCATAGTTAGTAGGACATACAGATCGTCACAAGTCACTGGTCTTACGAGTCAGAGAATAATGAGGACCCGTCCGTGTCGGACTAATTATGTTAGTGGAATAAGCAGAGGAAATGTGCAAAAAAAGAGATTTCATGAAATACTAACGTCAGGCTCGACCGGGTCGTGGTGTGTATCTTGATCCATCTTCGATAGTTCCGATCTATACGACAGCACGAGAACGCAACGAAGCGCGTTGTCGACGGCGACGAAAAGGATCAGAAAAAGTGAAAAGTGAAAACTGCAAGCACACCGACTGCAGTCCGATGACCCCCCTTATGACCCCTCTGTCTTCAGAGCAGCTGTTAGCGTCCCAGATTGTCGGGTCCAGCGTTGCCACTTTGTATCCAACAATCATTTACACCGTCAGCCGGATAAGTACTCCTTCGAGTAAAGAAGGCTGCCACAGCGTACTTTTTCCTTAGTTTTGGAGTACTCCGTACACATCCCGCGTAACGGCTTTCAATGGGTGTTAGCTGGATGTTCTAAGTGGTTCGATAACAGTTAGCGTATTGATCGCTCTAAGCTGATTAGCCCACTGCTGTGTGGTGATCCGCAGAACCAAAAAGGGACTGTTGCTCGGCCAATAAGGAGCGCAGTGCCACGGGTTGAGGCCCACAGGGTGTAATTTGTGCCAGCCACGCTCCCATTGGATTTGAATGATATCTACCACGTACGGAGTAACCCGAAGCTAGCAATAGCTTATATATAATATCACGTTAGATACCTTGTGTTGAAACTGCAAAGTCGACCTCCTACCTAAAAGTGCAATGACCACAGGGAGTGGGGCGAACAACGTAAGGTGTCTGTAAGTAACGCGTACTTTTGCCCTCGTATCCATATGACAGAAAATTGTTCAATTCGCTAGTCACACATTATTGACACCATCGGTCCCGACAGCTTGGTTTTTCGCCACTGTGAAGCGGAAGCGAAGAAAACACCCCGGGACTCATTCCACTCGCCGTAATGATAGTCGGCCCAAGTCTCAATATTTTCGGGACTTGAGAAGTTGTGATCCGCAACGCATTTATTCAGCCTGGTATGCAAGTTATTGGTTATGTGCATATCTATGTCGGTTGTACAACATTAGGGATGCATATATCCCCAGTGTTCTAGAACTCGAGCTTTTGGTTCGAAGTACTATCACGTGTTAGGTGTGCGATATTTATTTATCTTTCAGAGACAAGTGACCGGGGAAACACCCAACATGTACCTAGGGCCCGATACGACAAACCAAAGGCGCACTATGAGGGACTGAACAGTGCGATACGACCCTGGTCTGGTCATGCCAGCCCTTAATCAATCTGGAGGCGACCATTTTTTTCCACGGCCAGCTGCACAAAGTACCACTTTAGGTAGTGCTTCTAGCCGGCGAAGCAGCCAATCCCAAGTAGACACTATTCTGACTGCAACCCCCCACAAGCATACTCAAATGCCTACAATACAGTGCAAGTGCTACAATATAGTTATCTCTAATAGTTATGTCATGCATAGATTATTGACTGGTTAGTACATGGAAGAGGTGCTGACTAGATCGGACCGGTCCCAACACTTGTAAATGTGTGACAAAAAAACGTCCTATGCCTGGTGAAAATGGCGGTTTTGGGTGGGCCAGTATTTCCCCGGATTCTGCTGGTATAAACCTGCCCAGGTGACCTCGGTATTCCGGGATTTTCAAACTTCCAATGTTGCTTGATGTAATCGATTCCCAGACCCGTGAGCACGTCGGGCGCTCTTCCCGTTGCATGTACGGGACCCTTGCGGGCCGCGCCTTTCCTCTCATGAAACTCAAAACGAACTTGTGTTAAAGACGGTCAGCCATCCATATATATAACATTGACTATCTACAAGTCTATCGACATCATAATTTCTCCGTCTTCATCAGGTGGTGCAGTCTCCTTAAAGCCAAGTTTCTGATAAAACTTATAAGGGGAATCCTCAGGTCTCACGTTCTTGAGCGGATTTTCGCTCTTTTTCCCTTCTGGTGGAGTTGACATCACCCCCAATTTCTTGGCTAGAGGATTATGCTGTCGTATGTGTGCGATCGCGAATTCCACACCACGTCGACCGTACCCAAGACCCTGATACCCGCCATCAATCATGAATCGCCAGATATAGTAAGCCTCATCGGGATCCCATATCGCCATCATCAGCATACCGACAAGCGTTTCGTCGGCATAGATAGCTCGTACCCATGCGTCTTCGGAGTAATGAGCTTCACAGAGAGACCACACGTTGGGGGCGAGGTTGCCTGTCTGGCCGGGTTTGAGGCTCAAATTTGCTACCGCACGCCAGTTGTCCTCAGTGACTTCGCGAAATGTGAGAGTTGAGTCCCTGTTGGGAGCGGAACTGCTGGCAGTGTCCGTCATGGTATTTGGGCGTTGTCAGACGAATAAGTTAAACAAGAAAACACTAAAGTAGCTCTTAAGTCGCGAGCGTCTCTCTTTAAAGGACCGCTCGCAGTGGTATTAGGCAACCATGAAGCTTTACTCGGGGTGAGTCATTTGAAACGCCGTATTACCAAGCAATTCTAAGAATAAAATCCCTGTGCTTGGTATTGAAGGGCTGACCCTAATATTGTATCGACGTGACTGTCTACTACAACACTAAAGCGGGGGAAAATTAGCTACGGGTGAATATTTGAATAGTGGAGAATTTGAGCGGTGGTTTAACTTATTAGGTAGTCTTCCAAAAATTATGGCCCCGCATGGTTCTTGGTACCGGCATACAAAGCCTGACCTGGGGGTCTCTGGAAGTTGCAACGCGATGACGTAGACCTCCCTAATACGATTGGTCTTGTGCCGATCATTTCGCGCGTTGCCTCGCTTGCTTGGTTTGATTATCGAATGTGCCAGCCAAAGAGGAAAGTCCACGGGTGTTGGTATTCTTCCTCCCTGGATCGTGATTTCGTCATTGGTGTCCATTCGCGTGGTGACCCACTAAATGTTACATGATTCACCATTCTACTCCATTCCTATGGGCAACCTCCGCGTTTGGAAAATGTCCCAGTGACAGGGAAGGGTGTCTCTTTCTACCGTGCGCAATGCTCTGCCCTGTTCTTGGTTTGTTCGGCAATCCTCTAGACCAGGGTTCGAGGACTCACTATCCAATGATCTGATAGATACCCCGCCCTTTTAACAGATTGGGGGCTACTCATCCAAATCATCCATGGATGTTACATGGGCACTATATGCTTCCTAGCGGCTGATGCCGTGTGGAAGTTAGCCCGAACTGAATGCGAGCTCGATGATTTAGCGTGTCCCAATACTGGGGGCGGAGGGATGCTTGTTTTATAAAGCAAGCATGTCCACTTTATTCGCCACCATGGAAGCTATTCTGATAGTTGAGAGGCCGAAATAATCCGCACATCTTGTGAACAGGTCATTCTACCTCTTGGTTATGATCCATTATGCGAGAACACTTTTCGCTGACTTGCCTACGTCCAGAAGATAGATAATTGGCAGTGCATTGCTGCCGTTTCATGGCATATTTATCATCATTTGACACAGTACATTCATCCAGTATGAAGGAGAATGAAATGACCGACTCCACTGCGGAAGAGGTAGAGCATATAGAGAGCCGGCCTACATGCGCTCAAAAGGAAGAGAAGGCAGACCTCGAGAGCCGCTCTCCTGGCAATCTCAATGCCGTCTTCGAAAACCCCTTTGCTGGAATTTCCCGCAAACAACTCTTTGCAGATGTCGTCGAATTTTGCACCAAATACGATTTGTTGGACCATGTCGAGACTTTCAAGAAGGGTGCTCTCATTTCGCAAAATCCTGCATCGGCAACTAGTCTTCTCGAGTTGTCGGAGGAAGAGAAGGAGGCCCTTGAGCGTGAATATACCCACAGATGGTCACAACCGTGGCAATTATACTTTCTAGCATGTATGCGTGAGAATCCAAGCGATCCATTCCCCCAGGCTAACTTTTCCCCCTCAGCAATGTGCTCTCTCGCTGCGGCTGTCCAAGGTATGGATGAAACAGTCAATAACGGTGCCCAGTCTATTTACTTTGCTAAAGATGTACAATACCCTATCGTTGGTTGTGCTAGCATAAACTAATTTTCCTTCTAGCAACTCAACATCACTTCCAAAAACATCCAAGGTCTTGTTGTTGGTGCTCCATACTTGGCTTGCGCGATCATCGGTTGCTGGCTTACTGAGCCCCTGAATCGGCTTTTTGCCCGGCGTGGTACAATTTTTATCTCATGCGTGATTGCAGCTGTTGCCTCGGTATGGGAAGGTGTTGCAAATACCTGGGTCAATCTTTTCATTGCCCGCTTTGTCCTTGGTCTGGGAATCGGGTCGAAATCAAGTACTGTACCTGTATATGCCGCGGGTAAGTGTCGTCGAATGACTTGCTTGTCGTCAATGCTAATTGAATAGAATGTTCTCCCGCTCCAATCCGAGGTGCCCTCGTTATGATGTGGCAAATGTGGACGGCCTTCGGTATCATGCTTGGCAACATAATGGGCGTTGCTTTCATGAGTCTAGACCGAGGCATCAGCTGGCGTCTCATGCTAGGATCCACTGTCGTACTACCTCTCGTTGTCTGCGCTCAGGTATACTTCTGCCCGGAGTCTCCAAGATGGCTGATCCAGCACGGCAAAATCCAAAAGGCCTATACCAATTTCCGTATCCTCCGCCCAACAGACGTTCAGGCCGCAAGAGATCTGTATTATGCATATGTGGGCGTTGAGCTTGAACGAAAGATCAACAAGGGCAAAAGTTTCTTCACGATGTTCATTGAACTCTTTACCATCCCGCGCAACCGCCGTGCCACGCTCGCTAGCTGGATCGTGATGTTCATGCAGCAATTCTGTGGAGTCAACGTCATTGCATACTACTCTACCTCTGTCTTCACCGAAGCAAGCTACAGTCTGACTAGCGCGCTACTGGCGTCCATGGGAACCGGTATTCTCAACTGGGTCTTTGCCCTACCAGCCTTCTTCACGATTGACACCTGGGGGCGGCGGAATTTGCTCCTATTTACCTTCCCTTTCCTTGCTATCACCCTTCTGTGGACTGGCTTTTCCTTCTGGATTGAAGAGGGGAACGAAACAAGCAAAAAAAGGGTTGCAATGGTCACCACGGGCATGTACCTTTTTGAAGTGTTCTACTCTCCTGGAGAAGGGCCCGTCCCATTCGCGTATTCGGCCGAATGTTTCCCGCTGCAAGTCCGCGACGTCGGTATGTCGTGGGCGACAGCCACTACTTGGTGCTTTAATTTCATTTTGTCTTTCACTTGGCCGCATCTGGTCGGTTCTTTCAGACCACAGGGGGCCTTTGGTTGGTACGCTGCTTGGTGTATAATCGGCTGGTTTTTGGTTCTGTTGTTTGTCCCCGAAACAAAGTGTAAGCTTCGTGCTCTATCGAAGATTGACAGTACTTTGACAGTGCTAATATTTTGTCTTCAGCCCTTACTCTGGAAGAACTGGACCAGGTCTTCTCCGTCTCGACTCGCAAACATGCATCACACCAGATCAAGAATGCTTGGTGGCATTTCTGTGTCTGGATCCTTCGTCAGAAACTGGAGCCTCTGCCAGAATTCTATCAAGGTGTCGAGCGGCTTGCGGAAGTAGGTGACGTAGCGTCCAAGGCAGGAAAAAAAGAAAAAAGAGTGCATAATGACTAGATGCTACAGAGATAGAAGAAAGGGTAGTGAGATAGTGGCCGCAGCAGGTGTTCTCGGGCGAACAGGTCCGATTTTAATACACTATGGAATGTGCTTGCCGTATTATTGAGCCCTGGCTTTATGGGTAGGATGATGCTAGGAAATGTAGTTACTAGCTCTTCAGCTGATCATTAAAGGCTCAAACGGATAATGTATTTTCATTTATATAGTAGACAAGAAGGGGAAATGAACGAAATGTGCACGAGGGCTATCTGCATCGAACCTCCTATTGAGCATCACTATTGATTGCTGCTGTCAAATTACTCAAGTTTCTTGCTTAGCATGGCACCGTACCAGATCGTCGCGACCAGGCTGACCAAGTTGACCAAGCTTGAGATGCCATGCACGCGGCCGAACTTTTTGTTCAGGGCCAGCATCTCTTTGGAGTGAGGCGCCGGGTCGTAGCTCCTCTTTCCGTCACGGGTTTCTGAGTAGGTTAGAATATTAATTGACCTTCTTACACGAAACATAGTGCTAGCAGCTAACGCACCTTGACGCTTGCGCTCGCGCATCACATTGGTGGTGATGGGACGCAACACGAACATGTTCACCAACCCGGTCACTGTCACTGTTGCCAGAGGCAAGAGGGTGTTAAGGCGGTTCTCAGGTGCAGTGAGACCAGACAGACCCAAGACTTGTCCGCCGTAGGAAGCGGTCAAGGCGACCACTACAGGCAGCGCACTTTGCAGTGAGAAGTAGATGGGGAAGATGGCGGTCTGTAGACTAGCAAATTGGGGCCGCGGAAGGGCACGGAAAGAAACGAAGCCCCCGACAAAAGACTTTGGATATGTTAGACAATGCTTTTTAGAGAGGACGGTTCGATATCCGCCCAGTTCAGATCGATCTCACCTGGTAGAACTGTGTCCCTAGAAGGGTGCCGTAGCTATCTCATTTATGAGCACATGAGCCATAATTGTGCGCCAATAAACAAACCTCAGAACGTGATAGGGGCGAGGATCCATGATTTCGGATATGTTAAGACCGGGAGAGTGAGTTGGCGATAAAGTCGATGTGAAGTTGCATCGAGGGGAAGAAGTGGCAGTTATCGCTACTACCCAACTCCTAATGAAAGCCTTATTTCCACTGCCAAACAGACGGAGCTGAATTCTAACGACGCACAGACCACCAAACACCAACAAAGACGGCGTGATGTCATGTGCCTTCGCGTTTCGGTCTAAACCGCAAGTGGAAATATCACGCGTCTGCCTGTTGTCTTGAGCCTCAAGCAACTTTGACTTGCCATTCCCCAACATCATCATCATTATGGCAGAGAAAGAGGCTACAGTTTACATTGTAGACATGGGACGGTCTATGGGTGAGCACCACCATGGCCGTCCTATGACAGATCTCGAATGGGCCATGCAGTATGTCTGGGATAGGATCACCGCCACGGTTTGTGACTTGGTCTTGTTCAACGCCAGAGAACTGACAATTCCAGGTGGCTACCGGGCGAAAGACAGCTACGGTTGGCGTAGTTGGTCTCAGGACTGATGGTGAGTGGTCTTCTACCAGTCAGCAGCCATTGGGGCCCTCTTCTCATGTTTAGAACAGGGACTGTCAACGACTTGGAAGAAGAGAACTTCTCTAATATTTCTGTTCTCTTTGGGCTTGGCCAGTATGTGTGGCTTAATTAATTGACAGTTTTATGCCGGGTCACTTGACTAAATTGTCTTTCAGAGTCCTCATGCCTGATATCCGGAGACTGCGAGAAACGATCAAACCCAGCAACACTAACAGAGGCGATGGTATGTGACGGTTGAAGTCTCGTCAAGCTGCCTGTTCTGACTTTATATAAAAGCCATCTCTTCTATTGTCATTGCCGTGCAGATGATCATTGAGTACACCAAGAAAAACAAATACAAGCGCAAGATTGTTTTGGTGACCAATGGTACCGGCGCGATGAGCGATGATAATATCGAAGGTATCATCGAAAAGATAAAAGAGATTGACATTGAATTGGTGGTCATGTATGTTTCTTGCCGACGTGACTCCACATTCATGCTAATACTATGCAGTGGAGCCGATTTTGATGACGCTGAGTATGGTGTAAAGGAAGAAGACAAAGACAGTCGAAAGGTACTAAGCCATATCCAATTTATTCTACTATTCATGTTGATCAAGCTCTCTGCAGGCTGAAAACGAGACTCTTCTCCGCACCCTGACTGAGGACTGCGAAGGTGTTTATGGAACGCTTGAGCAAGCCGTTTCGGAATTGGATATTCCCCGTATTAAAGTGACCAGGAGCATGCCGTCTTTCAAGGGGAATCTCACGCTCGGCAATCCCGAGGAGTATGACACGGCAATCACTATACCCGTAGAGCGATACTTCCGAACCTACGTCGCCAAACCGATCTCAGCAAGCTCGTTCGTACCACGCTCCGGCACTGAACCCGGAAGTCAAGCACCGGTTAAAGGCAACGTGGAAGGCGACGCTCTTACGTCAGTGAGAACATCACGGACATACCAGGTCACAGACGAGTCCGCACCAGGGGGTAAGATCGACGTTGAACGCGAGGACCTCGCCAAAGGGTACGAGTACGGACGTACCGCAGTTCCTATCGAGCAGACTGACGAGAATATTGCAAACCTACAAACATTCGCTGGTATGGGGTTGATCGGGTTCGTTCAGAAGGATCAGGTGTGTCTCTATACCAATCCTAAGTGCCATAGCAGCTAATCCGTCACTTAGTATGACCGGTACATGCACATGTCCAACACGAATATCATAATTCCTCAGCGTGCAAATGACAATGCGTCTCTTGCGTTGTCTTCTCTCATTCATGCACTCTACGAATTGGAGTCCTATGCGGTTGCCCGTTTGGTGACCAAAGAATCCAAACCACCGATGCTCGTGTTACTAGCTCCGTCCGTTGAGGCAGACTATGAGTGCTTGCTTGAAGTACAGCTTCCATTTGCAGAAGACGTGCGGTCATATCGGTTCCCACCTTTGGATAGGATCGTCACTGTTTCGGGCAAGGTGGTAACAGAACACCGAAACCTCCCAAGCGCCGATTTGAAAGATGCGATGAGTAATTACGTGGACAGCATGGAATTTATCACCACGAATGATGAAGGGTAAGTAGAGTCCACTTGATTATTCAGTCCACCAGCTAATCAAAAGAGCCAGGGAACGCACTGACGATCTCCCAATCGACGAGTCATTCTCACCATTACTGCACCGCATCGAATCAGCCGTTCGATACCGTGCTGTGCATCCCCACGATCCTGTTCTCGACCCCTCAGAGCGGCTCACTCAATTCGCACACCCCTCAGAAGACATGGTCAAGAACTCCAAGTCCCGTCTTGGAAAATTGATTTCCACGGCAGATGTCAAGAAAGGTAACCCATTCCCAAACTACATCCAGAAGAAATTCCTGCTGACCAACGCCTTCCGTTTTATAGTTCCACCAAAGACGAAAGGCCGTAAACGCCAGCGTGAAACAGAGAAACCCCTCTCAGGGTTGGACGTGGATGCCCTCCTCAGCCTCGAACCCAAGCGAACGAAGATTTCCACCGAGAATGCAATCCCAGAGTTCAAGCAGACACTTGCCCGCGCAGAAAACATCGACGCAATCCACGACGCTGTGCAGCAAATGGCTAAAATCATTGAGACCCAGATCACGCACAGCCTCGGTCATTCGAATTACGACCGTGTTATCGAGGGCCTCGGTACTATGCGTGAAGAGCTTGTTGACTATGAGGAACCGGCGTTGTACAATGACTTTGTACGTCAGTTGAAGGGTAAGATGTTACGGGAGGAACTGGGTGGGGATCGGAGGGAGCTGTGGTGGTTTGTGAGGAAGGGGAAGCTTGGACTCATTGGGAAGAGTGAGGTGGATAGCTCGGCTGTTGAGGAAGAAGAAGCTCAAGAGGTGAGGTTTGATCTTTTGGTGCGAAATGGAACGATTGCTAACGGTGCATATAGTTTCTGGCTGCCAATTGAGTTGAGCCCGGAGTGGGGGCGAATTCTGGTTTCGCTATTCAAACATATGAGATAGGGAACATGCGAGGGATATGGAATATCCATACTATTTTCTACGCCAGGTTTACGCCATGTAGAGCTTGCTGTGTGAGTGACGATATATGGTACACGGCTGAAGGAGGGCCGAGAGACGAAGTCAAGTATAGTCCACCTCAGATTACTGAATTCAATGATCCTGGCCATCCAGACCAAGGGATACGGGACCTAAGAGTTACGGGGAAATGGAAATGTTGAGCGAGCTCATGAACAGCATTGCCATATCGACGTAGAATTGACACATACAGGAACGAAACCCGCAGACCAGACAACATGTGGCATGAGGTGAACCGGTACCCAATTGCAAGACATGACGATTCGTCAATCAACAACAGAACCAAACGCCGTGCATAACATGCCCAATAACCAGTATTTGCTCCAGAAAACAACAACAGACCGAGATTTGCAAACTCAAACATTAAAAAGCATCCAGATGCATCACAGAAAAGGGGTATGCAGAAGTATTGTCCTGGTAGGACGAGAAGAATGGAAGAAGAGGCGCTCCGCGGTACCTCGAAGAGTTCCTAGGGGCGAAAGAAGAGAGTGGGACGTTTAGTGGATGGACTTAATTGCCCGTGCCGGGCTGATAGTATTGCTGCCAATACGTCCACTAGGCTTGCGAACACCACGAGACTCGCTGCGGGTGTTTTCCGTTGTCCGGCGAGGACTAGAGCGAACCTTGCTGACTGAGATAGGGGCAGCGCCGCTCTTGCGGCTCACCGGAGTCTTGGGTGCCGAGTGGTCAACCCAGTTCTCCTGATCCTTGTGGTTGTCTTCCGCGAGGGTGTAGCTGGCTGTGACGGTGGCGGAGTAGCTGATAGACCGTGATGTGGGTGAGGCAACAGGAGACCTAGATGACCGCTGGGCTAATCGGCGAAGCTGGATTTCTTCTTCACTCTCACTGCTCTCATTGCTCTTCCTGTGGCTGCGGTGGCTGCGCTGCTCGTTTTCGACAGCGAGCGATCCGGACGCAGTTCGGGAATAAGGGTGGTGGCGTGAATCCTTTCTGTGGGACTTGCGAGGCTGGCCAGGGGTCGGTGCAGGAAGATCCTGGTCTGGGTAAGCTGCAGTTTCATTGTGATCAATCTCTCCGAGGGCTGCGCGTTTGGAGTGGCTATTATTTGGTGGGGTGGAGACCACTCCGTTGCTGGTGCGCTTCTTGGTCGACACTCGCGGGGTGACGGGTGTGGACTGTGCTAGCTTCTCGCGCATGCTATCCTCAAACCACCATTCACGGAAAGCACCCTGGTTGAGGTGGAGCCAATGCTGCTGAGGTCCAACGACCATACCAGGTCGCATGAATCTCATGAAGGCAATCACTTCGTTGGCAGTGAATCCATACTTGTAGATCAGGTAAGCGCCAATCAAGCAGCCTGTACGGCCCAGGCCTGCCTTGCAATGAACCGCGATACCCTTCTTCTTGATGGTGATCATCTCATGAGCCATTTTGATAAACCGTCTGACAAGCTGCAGGGGAGGGCAGGTGCCATCCTCGAAGATCATGTCAATATGAGCGATTCCCATTGCGGTGAAGTAAGATGGGCAGTAGAGCTCCGAGTTAAGTCGCACAACGAGACCGACATTGCGCTGGTGGAAATGGGCGAGAACATTCTTGAATGGCATAGGAAGCTTCGAAGAAGAGATTTCCGAGATTGTTGTGGGCAATGCGTTGTACTCGGGGGTGTTGACAGGAATGGGTGCCACGGGCTGGTGCTGAGGCGACGCAAAGGCAAGGAAATCTGGCGTAACCCAGTTGAAGTCACCCATATCTACTCGCTCAAATTTCTCGTACCTATTGAACAAAATCAGCATTCAATCTTCGGCCGTGTAAACAGTGGCACTTACTCCTCGAGATTGAAGTCGCGAAGTCCACAAAGAGACTGCTCCTTTGCCTTCCATACTCCATAAACGACATCTTGAATGTTCAAAATGAAATCTGCCTGGCTGTATCCAGCATCGCGGAAAGGCATGTAAGGAGGGTCTGCCTGTGCGATGGGTGCCAGAGCCAAATGAGGCGGCCAGGATTGAATCATGACCATATAGCATGCAACAAGGCAGGCTGCATTGGCGCGACTCCGGGCATCAGTCTTGCTATAGAAGACTACCGGGCGGTCGCTGTTGGCTGGATCGCCAAGAATCTCATGGAAAAGCACGGCAAACCGGTAGAGGTGACCAATATGGAGTGGGCCGAAATCAGCGTGGAAGGCATTGTAAAGAAGTGTGTCATCGATGGTAAAGTACACAGGAGAGCGGCGCTTGCTTGGAGTGGCGGGCTGGGCGCGTGACCGCTTGCTTGGGGATTTGGGTGCGTCCAGATGGAAGGGAAACGGGGTTCTGGAGCTGGGAGCAGAATCATAAGATGCAAGGTATAGGCGGTCTAGATGGTGATCTGTCTTAGCTCTCATTGCTGGGTGAAAGATATTCAAGTCGTCGAAGAGCATTGTACCAACCTTGGATGTACTCGATCATCTGCCCGCCGTGGTTGAAGTCGGTAGTCATATTGGGGGTCGTTTGTTGACAGCCGCCTAGACCTAGAGTGATTGTGTAACGCTGGTAAAGAGCAAAGACAGATCGATATGGTACCGTTACAGGTCCTGGTGTTGTTTGGTGTGACTCGGAGGATAGCAAAGCCAACAGTAAGAAAATAGTCGGTAAAGACGTAAGACCTAGACGCTCATGATCAAACTGAGCGAGGGAGATCTATGAGTATAGAATGCTAAGGATAATGAGAAAATAAAAGCCTGGATGCAAAAAAGCTGTACAGATGAGGGGGTTAGAGGAGAAGGAAATCAACACAAAGTCCGAGTTCATGATGTTTGGGGCAGCTGCCATGCCACTGTTATGTTGTGCCTTACCTATTTGGGACTAGTGGCAGCCGTTGACGTGACAACCCTGTGGCCTAAGGCAGAATTAAGGCATCAGCTGGTTTGCCTTCCACATTCCAAAACATCAGCACCACAACAAACAAACAGTATAAACTGCACAAACCAGACAGATCAGACAAACACCATCAACATGAAGATGAAGGACTCATACCTCACATCTGATACATCTCATACATCCTCACTCCGAGTTCGCCCCCTAGTCCTCAGCTTGGAACACTGTCTCCTGATTGCACATTCCATAATACGTTACTCCGTACATCCCCAGAATAAAGAGCATGTCTTTTGCAAATAATTGATTGGAAGGCTGCCTTCATGTTCCCAATCAATGCGCTTCCAATCCATGTCGGTAAATGAGCCCAAGAATGAGGCACGTCTGCGCCCTCTGCTTTTTTTCATAGAAACAGGCCCGGTATCACCTTCGGACACGATGATTGCTGCAATATTTACATAACTATCTATCCTATCGAGGTGAAGGTGATGTTCTAGCCGTTGTGCTCCAACACTGTCTACCATTGAGTGACTCATATGGTACGGAATACACAATTGGCACCCCTGAGCTGCATTCTCTTAACAGAGATCTCCTCAATACAGCAAGCAGCTTGTTTGGGATTTGCTTTATCTTGACTTTCCTTGATCGTGTCTATCATGTTCGATGGTGTTGTGGCGACTCCCCATTCTACTGGTCATTCCCGATGATCCTAGGGCCACAATTTGCCATAATGACGCCCACTGCAGCAGTCTAGTTCCCTAACTCAACATAGCTTGCTGAACCAAGGCAAAAAATCAACAACATAAACGGTCTTGGGTTCCACTTTCAAATGGAGTGCGCCTGAACATGCCAGTAGACACCAAGGGCAGTGTGGCTGCCGCAATTTCGGTAGAGGCTGGGTTTCATACAGAGTCAATGCAAGGACCTCTGACGGGGAACTGTTTTTGCCTTCAAGTTCGAATGTTTCACTTGGTCAAACTCACGTTCAGTCCCCCTGGGGAAGCGGTGATCGACACAAATTAGAGGCCCCGCATATAACGACCCTTGCCTGAGCCTACGGTCCATGCACTAGTACTATGCATCCCTCACTTGAGTAGTTTCAAGCTTGTTGGCTGGTATTATTCTTATTCTTACGGAGAAATATCTGACATTTTTTTCCACAAGTTCGAATAGACCATGCTGAATCTCCCACGTTGCAATTTCCTATATGAGACTATACGGGATAACCCCAAAATATCCCGCAAAGCAGAACAAGCTTTGATAGTTCTATGGCTTGCTTTATCCTGTCCAACTTGTTGAAGACTTGCTCCAACTACACCGCTTGAAACCTATATCACATCTTAACTCGAGGCCATGTGGGCACATACATCCCTTCTTTCGCGCAATCTCCGCTAAGATGAAGCTACCTGCGCGGCTTGGTGGATTGCAGCCCGTTAGCGCCGGTCGTGTTAATTCAGTACCTTAATGACAATAACAACCAAGGTCAAAACATCGCCCCTGATAACCCCAAATGCGAGGGGGCTCTCGGTGACCGTGCGGAGCACTGCCAAAACAAACCCAGAGAATTGTATATAATCCGAGCCTTAGATGCAGCGACTTTGTGTTCTTTTCTATACACAATTCATTCATTCACTTCCAGTCGCTCATTTTCTACCTGTTCGCTTCTTCCTCACCAAGTCACTCTTTTTAACCCTTTGAGACTTTACGAACATCGCAACTATGAAGCTCACTGGATTGACTGTTTCGCTCGCCTTCGCTGGTTTGGGCTACTCTGCCGCTCTTCCCGTCCTCGGCAATGTTAAGGGGACCGTATCTGGCGTTGAGGGTGCCGCCGGTGGTGCCACAGGTTCCGCCGCTAAGATTGTTGCGCCTATCACCTCCACCGCTGGCGGCCTGACTGCTGCCCTCAAGCGTGACAATACTGCTGCCCTCGGTGAGACTGTCGAGACCATCCCAAGCTTTTCCAACAGCGCTGTTGGCATTGCCGGTAGTGCTGTCGGTACCGGTGAGAGCCTTGTCTCTGGGGCTGCTGGTACGGCAGAGAACGCCGTTGCTGGTGCCGGTTCAGCCGCGAAGCGTCAACTCAACGACATCGTTGGAAGCACACTAGGAAGCGCCGTTCCCGCCATTATCCAAGAAGCCAAGGCTGGAGGCCTCGCTGGTGCTTTCAAGCGCGATGGAACTGCCGCATTTGGTGATACCGTCGAGACTATTCCCAGCCTCGCCAACAGCGCTGTCACCATCGCTGGTAGTGCCGTTGGTACCGGTGAAAGCCTTGTCTCAGGCGCTGCTGGTACCGCCGAGAACGCTGTTGCCCACTAGTTGTTATGATTTACTTCATGTTTCGTTGTTTCTTCCCACATGTGGATCATCCTGCTGGATCTTTTATGATTGATCGAGTTTTCGTGTAAAATACTTCTGGGGTACCTTTTATACCTCTATATGACTTCCAAATGCCTTCTACAAATTTGCGTTCTATTCCTTGCCGCATTTGTTTTCCAGCTCTTAAATAACCGCTTTACACCTTGTTCTGGTGAGACTGCAACCTTGTTCTCAATGATGCGAGCAGTTCTAGCTCCATTAAACCCTTCTAGATAACTAGATAACCACCACTCCAAAAGACAATGG